TTTAATTATATAACGTCCGTCTGGTGTAGTCGTAAGTGACATGGTCACTACACTAGGGGGTCGCGGGTTCGAATCCCGCCAAGGGAAGATATTTGTATGATAAATATAAATGTCTTTTCCAGGGTTATGGATGTATATTAAATATATTATGTATGTGTATAATAAAAGTCTTACATTTATTTCCGATATCTGGTACACCTGTAACACAAGTTCTTTACGAACTTATCACGGGACCAGTTAACGTGGCGTGATTGTTAGTAAAATATTTATATATTTATTTATTTAATTTACGTAAAGGTTACGTAAAGAATTGTTTGTTAATTCCGTTAACATATTTTAATTGCCCGGCATCGCCTATCCACACGAAAACAAAAAGGCAAGGCCGAAAGAGGCGTTCACTTTCGCCACGATTTGCTAAGCGTGAGTAACACTATATAGTTTCGTGCTCCCCATCGCTCGTTCAATACCCAAAAGTAATTATTTCTAAACGACTAAAAACGCTGCAAGAATTTTTGACTTTTTTACTGGTTCTCTTGTGAGTCCGCACGGGTATATGGGCGCAAACGCCACTGTTGGCAATAATTAACATAATAATATATAGTTTAGTTTATTATATGTTAATATTTATTAATTATTAGCAACAAAACTGTTATTCTACCATATTTAATAATTAGCAGACACTGTTTTGATGTGAAAATGTTCAGAATATGTTTAATGTTTATGTTATTGTTTAAAAACACAAATTACTGTATAAATGATTAAATATGAATAAAGCATAAATATTAATAATAATTTATATTATAATTAACAGTACTAATAATTTAATTAAGTATTGTAATTGTTATGCAATGATGTTGTTGGCGCCATCTATTATCAGGCTGGATAATAACAATGTTAGTTAATATTACTTAAAAGTAATTCATGTAAAATAAATTAAATGTGAGTCATGTAAAATCACTAAAATATGTATTTTGAATATTAAGCTATGTTTTGTGAATTGTTTCGCAGTAATTACATTTGTTTGTATAAAAGAAGTTGTAGTTGCTATAACCAACACAAAATGGCCAATTGTGTAAAAACCACTGAATAACTCAGGCGTGGCTTTTTGTTGTAAACAAGTAATGTTAAAGTTTTATAGAATTGTATTGTATTTTCATTGTAAAAGAACTTATGTGTGTAAATCCTGGCTTAACGCTGACAGGTACGTACCACCACCCGCCTGTTTCTGCCGTGAAGCAGTAATGCGTTTCGGTTTGAAGGGTGGGGCAGCCGTTGTAACTATACTGAGACCTTAGAACTTATATCTCAAGGTGGGTGGTGCATTTACGTTGTAGATGTCTATGGGCTCCAGTAACCACTTAACACCAGGTGGGCTGTGAGCTCGTCCATCCATTTAAGCAATAAATAAATAAAAACTTGATCGCTTGTGAATATCACGATTTTAATTCTACGTCCGCTTTTGAAAGTCCGCTCGAATTCTTTGCCCGCGGTAAACACGACAAACAATAACTCGACATCTGTTCTCCCAAGCAGGTGTGTTTTTAAAGACCGCTTAATCGGCTCTATTGTCTGTAATCTCACTTCTCCGAGAAGCCCGGATGATTAGCTTTCCTTTTTTTTTTTTCGTGAGCGTGTAAAAATTCAGAACAATAGAATCAGTGAATGACGTCAAGCAGCTCTATTATTTCGAATACGTCAATTTGTTGTTTAGAACTCTACGATCGACGTGCTACTTCCATTAACATTTTGAATTGTTAGTTGGTTCAAATGAATTGTACGTATGTGTATAATTTAAATGAATCTTGAAGATATATCTGGATTTCGTGTAAATGTAAAAAAATATATTTGAATGAACAGGCTCAAGCTATTGCATAGTTTCTATCGCGGGCCTTGAGCGCGGCGACTGAATCAAGAAATTCCGTAACGAAAATAACCTGACACCCCTACTACGCCTACTATGTAGCTCGCGTTCAACACATTCACACGTTGCGTTGGTGTAGTGTTTGTGATTAAGCGCGCGGCGTGACGTCGCACTGCATGAGCATCATGAAAAGCCTGCCCATTTCTCTCTCACGCGGTCTAGCTTATGAGTGTGAAGGGGACAGTTAATGTTTTGCTTTTGTTAATGTTTATAAATATAGCGTGGTCTTATTTTTATTATTGTTTTAATATTAAATTATTATTATCTAATTGTAATTGCATAAGTTGATAAAAATGCTTTGCAATAGCTTTACCGCAGCAGTCCCCGAGTGCCACACGTCTTTTTTATTAATTTATCAGCTCCGATCGGCAGACGATCTCACAATGCATTTGATAATAAATAATTATTAGTATCCCATAAACACTATAATAGTGAGTGAGAAATTAAGTTGAAATCTCACTGGGTATTATTACATGACGACTATCGAATTAAAAAAAAACGGATCGTAGTGCACCCTTTAGGGGGGCACGGAATGAGTCTCGGGGTAAACCCCACTGCCCGGGTAGTTGCTCCCCAACCTATACAGCAAATCAAAATATATTGATTCGCAGTAGCAATAGACAGGACGGTGCTAACGACCTGTGCGAGCTCAGAACATATCCTATCAGCTAAACGAACCAAGAGAATAAGTACTATATAAACACAGTTGAAGTAATAGATTAGGAACGCCAGTATCACTACATAGTATAAAACAAAGTCGCTTTCTCTGTCCCTATATCCCTATGTATGCTTAAATCTTTAAAACTACGCAACGGATTTTGATGCGATTTTTTTATAGATAGAGTGATTGAAGAGGAAGGTTTATATGTATAATAACATCCATTAAATAGTGGAGAAATCAATAATAAATTACAGTTTCCGAAGCGAAGCGAGGGCGGGTCGCTAGTTAAGAAATAACCCAGTCTATTACTATAGACAGGTGCAAGAACCTCTGGCCATACGAAGAGCTACAAAATCTGAATTGTTTAGATGGTAAACAAAAATATGCCTCATTAACTATCAGTGTTTTAACAAGTCTTCAATTGAAATCAATGTAACAATAACTTTAAAATTTGTCGTCGTTAAAAGACTGTTGGTTTTTCATTGACATCATTGTTTGCTGGCGTCACAGCTTAAAGTGTCTTAATTGCTTTGTTTTCATTGAAATAAGGAACAGATTCTATTGTTTTGTGAATTATCTAGCCGACTAGCGTCATGAAAAAAAGATTAATCCTGATTAATAGTTGGACTGTTAATTGTCTTCGTGTTGTTTTAGTCATTCGATATCGACTTAGTTATCGGAGAAATTGGGAGCTGTGCTATTTAACTAGGCGTGCTCTGCGATTTCACGCGCGTTTTTAAACAGTAAAGTGAATTTATTTAAAGTTGAGGTGTATTTCTTTTTAATATCTTGAATGTACATACACTCTTCTGGTATAGCTGCACTGTTTTATGATAGTCTAGAATCTAGATTATTGACGTCAATGCCGAAACGATCTGTAGATGTATTCGACATTCGATAGACCCTCACAAAAACTCAACCTACACGCAACAATGGATTAAAGTGAAGCTGTACATCCCACCTGTTACAAATGAAACATGTTAATAACAATATAGAAATCCTAAAACTTCTCTAACATTAATTTTTAGAAGCCAGTAAAATGTGTAACAACCAATTTGGCTATTTTTGTGTAAAGCATAATTACATAATACAGAATGTACATATTATTATTTACTTATTTGAAATTGTATTGTTGTTTCGGACTTAGCAGCACGTCTATTCCCGAGGGTGCAACAAACACTCTTGGTTCCCGATAACGATCCAAAAATAAACTACGATAATTCGTTCACCATTAAAGAACAGTGTGGTTATGGCATTCCATTCAACACCGCCACTTCCTTTTACTTTCTCAAACGGCATACCATTGGCAAAATTCACGCCATATAGTTTTCTATTTTATACAAGTTGCTATCGACTGTTTTACGATAGCGATCGGGAAATATAACATTATCTAGAAGCTGGTACTGTCTAGACGTTTACTTTTGTCGAACGTAAAAATTACGTAGAAGTGACAGTTGTCGTAGATATTACACAAATTCTTTTGTAACTGTTATTTTCATTGTTATTCCGTCACGGCTGAGCCCCGAGACCCACGCGGTCTCATAAGGAACTAGTAAAGTCACACGGTGAATACTAATAAGAGACTCGCCTTCGTATTTTGATGTAGTAACTGGTTTTGCAACTTTGTCGATACAAATCTTAATAATAAATATGTACTATCGTTAATTTTTTTATCTAGCCACACGCAACTCACGCAAATAATATGATTTTGATTACATGACGTATGTTTGATCAAGTGTAGTTATCAAATTTAATATACAAATAAAAAGTAAAAATTAATTCCACTTCTTGAAAAACTTTAACATCGTATAGTCAGTCGGTCCAAGAAATGTGCTCACAGATCTTTGTTTACTTGTTTCGTAGTAAAAATTCTTTGGGTGGTGTTTAGGCTGCGTAATCGAGGCGATCCTTATTCGAATGGTATGCGGAGCGTTTATTGAGTTCAGTTGCGTAAAATACACAGAATACGGACGCGAGACAGACTTTAATGACAGTATGGCATACGGCCGCTTCAAGGATGGACGTGCGTTTGTCGGTCGGTCGGCGTTTCGTTTCTATTTACGCGCTGTGAAACATCGCAAGGTTGTTTGCGGGCTGTGACTACCGCTCGCTCGTGCTCCAACGCTTCGTTCTCGTGGCTGCTGTTGTGGATGATAATTAAATTACGTACCTACTCTGTGCTTTGAATCAAGTGATTTACGAATTAACAGCCAAAGTTTAGTCGACCAGATGGTTAGGAAAATTATCGTAATCGGAATTCAACATTACGAGGATCCCTTTTATAAGTGCGTTATCAATAATACATACATTTATATAAGCAATAAAGCAATATATTTACCGGTTTCAATTTTAATAGAATATATTATAGATTTTGGAAAAACCATATGATTTTACGTATGTTTTTTTTTATTGTTGTAGGCATGTGACAGGCGCAGGAGGGCCGCCAGCGGGATGCGGTCATCAAAGGAACAGGTCCCTGGACTCTGTGCTCCAACGGATACCAGAAGACATGACACCAACTTCGCCGGAGGATGCACCTCTGCGACTCACTATCGAAGCGACGGTACCGAGATTGGCGCTGCCTCCGGAAGTGCCGACCGGCTCAGACGACTCTGGTATTCACACGCCGCCCGATGACAACGAAGACGAGCGACCTCCGCTTCCAACAGCGGCGCGGTCTAGAGAAAGTCTTGATTCTGGAAATCCGGAAGACACAGAGAAACCTCCCGATCCCCCCGATACGATAGCAGAACCGACAACTACAGCTGGCACCAGCGTCGCAAGTACGTCCAAAAACAAAGACTCTCTGTTAAGACTATTCGAGAGTTCGTTGTTTGACATGAACATGGCAATAGAATATTTTCACAATTCCTCAGGCGTACAGACTTATCTGGCGAATAAGTTGTTTTCGTTTCCGCACGAGGATGTCGATTTTTATCTGCCGCAGCTGGCAACGATGTACATAGAGCTAGCCGACGTAGCGGAGGTGCTAAAGCCGTATTTGATTCATAGATGTAAACAAAGCACGGAGTTTTCTCTGCGACTCGTATGGTTGTTGACCGCGTTCGGTGGGGATTCGACAACGTCTAAAGCGATGAAGTTGAGAGAATCCATACTGGCCGAAAAGATAAGGCCGGCAGCGAAAAGAGGACATCACCGAACACAATCGGACGCTTCGGCGTTGAGAGTGTCGACGCCTCCTTGGAAATATTTAGGGGACTTAACATCTGGACGAGCCTTCGATAACGGTTGTGTTTGTGGGGAACAGTGTTCGTGCGACGCTCCCAGACTGGCACCGCATTTAGAGGTAATTATTAATCATTCGTTTAATTAAATCAGTCGATCGATATTTTAGTGTGGAACTTTAAAATGTTTGGCGACAGCAACGATAAATGTTTGAATTCCAAAACAAAATAGTGCAGCAATTGAAATTCATTTATTTAAACTCGTAACATATAGAGTGGTAACATTTCACACAGAGTAAGTGAATTAAAATGGCAATGAATAAAGGTCATCTCTATTTTTTGTTGTAAACAGAAACGAGATGAACTTATTTGAGTTTATATACCGAACCAACTTTTGATTAGTTAAATGAATTGTAATGTGTTAAACACATTTCACGACACGTGCCGTACACTTGTGTAAATTCTTGACGAATACATAAATTTTTGCATCAAAACATGAACAGTAGGGTAAACAGAATAAATATGTAATAGTGAATTCATATTGATTTCGTAAATCTAATTAAAGGTTTTAAAATATCGTACAATCTTAATAAACAATACGTTTTAAGAAAGTTAGCTATTAAATAAAATACTTTCAAAGGATCGTTGAAATTATCACTAATTGAAATAAAATATTATTCCGTATTGACAGATCTTATAAATGCTATCAAAGAGTAACATTTGCATTTAGTTTAATGTTATTAAATTTATAAGACTTTACAACAAGCATATTAGATATAAATTACCATGCTATGGTATAAGAAATGTAACAGACATATTTCATTATATTCTAATTCTGGTATTTCAACGTTCTTTTGTTAATTATTATTAACTAATATAGGTACTCATTGTAACGAAAGTAAATATCAAAGAAAGGTTTTAAAATCCTTATCTGTCATTACGACATACTGTTTTAAATATCACGAATTATATGCTCACGGTTATATCCCTTAGCAACATTATACTGAATTATTGAAAAGCCTTTTATTAAAGTAAAGTAAAAGAATGATTCATAGAAATATAATACAATTATTATTACAATTTCTTTATTCAAAATAGTATACAAGGAATATTAGATCGGAAATTGTTTGTACCCTTGCATTGTCAGAGACGAGTGGGAACTGATCTGTAATTTGTTAGTTGCACTTTTGGGTCTAGCATTAGAACTGTGTACTCAGCATAGTATGAGAGTATGTAGGTATATTATTATTCCGCAAAGGTGCACGGACAATACCAAAGCAAAATCGTATAACAAGAAAATGGGCGCCATCTGTGTGTTCGAAGTGGTTCGAAATGTATTAACGGTATTTCAGCCGTGAAGCAGTAATGCGTTTCGGTTTGAAGGGCGGGGCAGCCGTTTTAACTGTACTGAGACCTTAGAACTTGTATCTCAAGGTGCGTGGCACATTTACGTTGTAAACGTCTATGGGCTCCAGTAACCACTTTAACACCAGGTGGGCTGTGAGTTCGTCCACTCATCTAAGCAATAAAAAAAAAAACTAGATGACATTGGTACAATGTAGTACAAACCTTGGACCAAAGGTTGGTCTTTCGTCAGCGTCAGTTAGATGTCACTCGGTTATTAACACATTTTTTATTGGCCAATTAAAATGTGGAATTCTGCTCTGCGGTGTTGTAATTTCGCTTGTGGGGCCCGTGTGACTGTCGCGGCAGCGATCGTTAACATAATTTAATATTTTTCTGAATCTTAAGTAATCGTGACAAAATTTCGGTTGAGAAAATTGAAACTTTAAATAAATAAATGAAATTTGTACCTTAAAATTCATAGTAAAAACCGCTAAATTAAACCGTAAAGTTAGTTTTCATTAGAAAAATTTAAGATATTAAACATTGAGAAACATCACTAGTTCATTATAAATGTACACACTATACAAACATTGCTCGGCAATTTTATTTATTTATTAAAGACACGTGGAGGTGAATTGTTTTTGTAGCCTTGAAACTGCGACTGTCGAGGTAGCTGGTACCTAACCGATAAAACGATAATAGGCTATCTAAACTAAAAAATCAAACAGCGCTACTTTCTTGAAAATATGTTGTTCAAACTAATATCACCGATTACTAGAGTCTGTTATTAAATAAATGATTACAAACGACAATAACTACGGCTTTAATCACGTTGTTAACTAATCGATTCGTGATAAGTCCTTGTAATCGGAAAGATCCGATCGTTAAGTACAAGATAACCTCTACATTAGTAATCAATTCAGAAATGTGTATACATTCAGTGATATAGTAATTGGTTTAAGGACGTATAGAATAGCTAGTAGCGATAGATACCGTTATTTTTTGACTATTTCTTCTGCGAAACGCTCATGTATTCCGCTTTGAAGATTGGTATAGCTATTATAGAATTAGGATTTCGACCTCAAGTCTCAAGGTGGGTGACGACATGCGCGCTGTGATGTCCCTACGCTCCGGTAACTTACTAAATAAAAATAAAAATCAAGCAATGGAACGATATAGAAAAACTTCTATAGTTTTTACTGGTGGCAGGACCTCTTGTGCTTCCTCACGGGTAGGTACCACCACCCTGCCTATTTCAGCCGTGAAGCAGTAATGCGTTTCGGTTTGAATGGTGGGACAGCCGTTATAACTATAGATACTGAGACCTTAGAACTCATATCTCAAAGTGGGTGGCTGCATTTACGTTATATATGTCTATGGGCTCCGGTAACCACGCAAACACCAGGTGGGCTGTAAGCTTGTCCACCCATCTATGCAATAAAAAATAAAAAAGTTAAATTCGTATTACGATCGAATAAAAACGATTAGTGCTGAAGCACCTTAAAAAATAGGTATGTTTTATATGTATACTCATGTCGGTTTCAAATAGTTTACTGAATAATTGATATTGCAGTTCATGTTGGCGCTAATGAATATCGGACGCCGGTTGGCCAGCGTCGCGGACAAGGAACGAAGGAATGGCCACCTCAGAGCTGAACTAGCGACTCTGAACCTGAATTTGCCGGCCAAAGTTTGGCTACCCCTATATCACAAGCCTCACTACGTGTTGAGGATATCACCGTACGCGGCCACGGTGCTCAATAGCAAAGATAAGGTAAGAATCGCTTACATTCATCTACGAGACAGCTTTGAAAAAAAAAACCGTAGCTTGCTGTGTGGCAGTGGCAACAATGCTCACACCGTGCTTGTGCCACTTGTGTGGCAGTAACCGTCGTAGAACAAGGTAGCTAACGACATTTATAAGACACTAGCGACCCGCCCTCGCTTCGCTTCGGAAACATTAAAACACACATGAAACCAAAAAAATAAAATCAAAATAAATAAAAAAAAGTAGCCTATGTTCATCAGGGACAATGTCGGCTTCTAATGGAAAAAGAATTTTTCAAATCGGTCCAGTAGTTTCGGAGCCTATTCGAAACAAACAAACAAACAAATCTTTCCTCTTTATAATATTAGTATAGATTAGATAGATATAGACAAGTTGGGAACAATAACTTCCGGACCCGGATCTACCTAGCATACGGTCGACGGAGCATCTTCCTTTAGTCGTTGCCTCCAGACCCCAAGAACCAATCCATTTAAATAATTTAGTAACATTTTTTAATAAAAACATGATTATATGTCAAAATTCGATTGAACTAACGCAATGAAATAGGTGAGTAGACAAGGATTTATGAATTGAATATGAAATAATGTAGACTGTGAATTCGTCATGGCCTAAAGGATAAGAAGATGTACTAGTGCTGAGCGATGCGACTGTGCCGATGTTCGTATCCCGCAGGCGGGTAGCATTTTGTAGAAAAAAAATAAACCCGCATAGTGTGTTCCGTGTTGAAAGGTCTGACATAGTCATTTTATGATTCCAGTTGTGATCTATTGGTCCCTATCCCTAGCAATAGGCTAGCTACCGCTATTTGGCATCACGTATGTACATAAGATACTCTGGCATATGTAGACTAGGACAGCCTCTAGTACCCAATAACTCACTGGGTCCGATTACGATTCCCTGTCGGAATCTCTGTGATATCGGTGATATGTCGTCTCAATCATGTGTTATTCTGGTACACCGGATATAATTCCAGCTTAATAGAACGTCTGTGGCGCACAATAAGCTTCGGTTTTGATTCATTAAAGCAATTCTTTTCAAATGAAATGATATATTTTTTTTAAATATTCTAACTTGTTATTCATTCATACCGATGTGAAGTCTGGAAACAATAGAGGCTGTTAATTAGCGCTCGACGTCAATGTTTAATTGCCGCGTTCTTTACGCTGTTGTAATTACGACGTTCTGAAAACGTCTTTCGAGCGTTAAGAGTTCGATTCAGTGTTTTATTTGAAATATTTAAATTAGTGCTCCAAATCTCTTCTTATTCTCTACCTTATCCCACTAGGTGGGGTCGGCACAGCAAATTTTTCTCTTCCATTCTCTTCCATCAGTCGTCATCTTAACACACACACACCTCTCTCTCTTTCATATCGTCATTCACACACTCCATCCATTCACACACTCCTTGTTCGGTCGACCTCTATCCCCTCTACCTTGCACTACCATTTCCATACATCTCCTAGTCACATGCATCTTCTTTCTACGCATCACACGTGCATACCACGCTAACCATCCGCTCTTTAATTTGTTGATTACCGGGGCTACTTTCACACTTTCTCTGATATACTCAACATAGTGCTCCAAATAAACTATTAAAATAAATAAATCTTATTAAAAACTCTGTCATATGCAAAGAAAACCTATTTCTCAGGAATAGTAGTTTATTCTTGAATGAAAGGGTGCTCTAGGTCTTTTTTATGTGTATTTTCAACGCGTATGCAAAATATCGTGATGGACGGTCGAGTGGTTAAGACGCGAAAGCGCAACAAACAAAACTCACTTTCGCATTAATTAAATCAAGTACGTATTACGACTGTTGATGTTGGGTTTAGTCTATAGGTATTGATTGACTCAATACATAGGGACCGTTCTTAATATACCTTTGGTAGGCAGCGTCTTGGCTCTGCCCCTGGTACTGCTTTCTCCCCTAGACAATGCCACAAAGGGTAAATGCTACAAAGTTTTGGGTTTGATGTACCTGCCGGTAGGCAACGCCTTGGCTCTGCCCCTGGCATTGCTGACGTCCATGGGCGACGGTAGCAACTCACTATCAGGTGGGCCGTATGCTCGTCTGCCTACAAAGGCATTAAAAATTCTGGTAAATATTTTATTTGATTAAATGTTCTAAAAATCTTTACGTCGGATAGATTCAGTAAACAAATATGCTTGATGGTTGTACCAATAGTTGTGGGACCACGACACTCCGTACCACCGTGATGATAAAATCGATTTTATAGTTTTTAATTCATTAAGCTTCCAAGCGGCTTCTCACGTCTTTAAACTAATTTACGTCTTCTACATAATGTCTAATTATAATGGTTTTTATGTTAGGCTACCTTTGATTAATGGTTTCGATAAAAATCAAGAAACAATTGTTCTAGAAAGATACCAGTATTTATATTATTATGGCCATTTCATTTTGAATTTGCAAGGTAATTATTTTTTAACAATAAAAAATGTACGTATGTAAAGCACTTTTTATTAAGAGCACTCGAATTTAAAAATAAATAAAAATAACTGTTTAAGTGATATCGTGACAATTTTTATTTTATTTTAATTAGTATTCGATGACATTATTTATAGGTATGGAATATAATTTTAGCCAAATAACTGAATGTCCGCTGTAGGTGGTGGACCAATTTTGTATGACATCTTTATTTTTTATTTATTACATAGATGGGTGGACGAGCTCACAGCCCGCCTGGTATGGAGGGGTTACCGGAGCCCATAGACATCTATAACGTAATTGCCGTCACCCGCCTCGAGATATGAGTTCTAAAGTCTCAGTATAGCTACAAAGGCTTACCCACTCTTCAAACCGAAACGCATTACTGCTTCACGGTTGAAATAGGCAGAGTGGTGGTGCCTACCCGTGCGAACTCACAAGAGGTCCTACCACTAGTAATTACGTTATTAATTAATGTTATTCCTTGACCGTGGAAGTCAATCGTGAACATTTGCTAAGTACGTATTTCATTAGAAATATTCGAATATCGTTGCATCGCTAGATACGAATGCACCGGACGTCTTATCCTTTAGGCCACGACAATTTAAACTTACTTGTTGTTGTATTTTTTTTTGGTGTGCAACTGAAATAAATTGCCTTTTTTTAAATAGTAGGATAATAAAGTTACGAACTCACACTAAAAATGAGTTTATCTAATAGAAAAAAATATTAAGGAAATTTTTATTTATTAAACTTCGCATTTCATTTGTCTGACTCCTATTATAAACGTTTACTTAGTAAAGATTTCAGTGAACATAATTGGTTTACCATATTTTGGAGTAGATGTGTAGGCGAATTTAAAGATGAGACTTGAGTGAAGTCTCTAACAATGTTCAGCATATGACGCGATCATCTTAAACTTTGGACCGGACAACGTGATTCACGCGTTGATTCACAACAAAACTGCGACAATTTCATTATGTCAATAACCAATTAATTGTCAACTCTGGGATTTTGCGTAATTAGATTACCTTATGCGTATACAAATTAGGTAATTTCTGTAATATTTATCGATGAATAAAATAAATAAATTAGAATTTAATAGATTATAATAGAATAGAAGCAAGAATTATGTTTATCAAAATTTCATTGCCGGGTAAACCGTTTCTCCGAATGGTGTTCCGAGCTCGCGTTAATACAGTGGTATTAAAACTATTCGTGTTTATGATAGAAAATAATCGAAAATTTAACTGTTTAAAATGTTTCACTAATGTCTTCGGAAGACAATTAAAATAATACTGATTTACAACATTTACGGTGTCTAGTAAGTAATACGTGGAGCTGCTCCCTTCGCTTTGTATCGCGGGACAACAAAATATATATGAACCTGAGAAAATTACAGTTTATTTTCAATTTGGTAAATGTATCTTGTTTTCTGTTTACACTAAGCCAAGGATGAACAACACGCGGCCCGGCATGCGTCCCTAAAATTGAATTTATTTTATCGACTTTCTCCCATCAATTGGTTTTTCTGTTCCATTCTTGTTTGTTTTTATCTTGTACTAGCTGACCCGGCAGACTTCGTAGTGCTTCATCGATAAATAAAAGACACATCAAAGGAAAAACAAAATTGTTTGTTTTTATATATTTCCGAGCTTTTTTTATATTTTCTCACCTTTTAAACCTTCCCTGGACTTCCACAAATAATTCAAGACCAAAATTAGCCAAATCGGTCCAGCCGTTCTCGAGTTTTAGCGAGACTAACGAACAGCAATTCATTTTTATATATAGAGATAAAGTTTTGTAAATGATTAATAAGAGTTCATCTATGTTTAGATGGGGTCATTGATTAAAAAAGTTGCTCACCCCTGCACTAGGTCAATCATGGCTTGTTCCCTTTTAGACTCTGGTTACGGAGATTTCACGAAATTATTGTTAGTACGTTTCATGCTTTTGTCAAAGGTTTCGGCGTTGATTGTTATCAATCGCGGAAAATAGGGAATATTATTAGCAGCTTGACTGTCTAGACGAGCTCACCGGACAAAAAGTGGTTGCCGATTGCAGCAGAGACAATATTGGAATGTCCGTTATTCCATTATTCAAATAGAAACGCATGTGGCAGAGACGGGCGCGCTTCCTATCAAGGATTTCAGTGTCATTATATACATTAACACTCGGTGGAATTATCCGCTTGAGATCATTGCTTCTCAAACTTTTTTTTGCCGCGGCACCCTTATCGGGTATTGGCTATAGCCTTTAACGCGTGGCCTTAAAAGGGTTTGAAGAAATGAAGGAAAGTAGGGCAAATATAACACTCATTCTCAATTGCCTTTATTGGGGTGAAAGAAACTGCTTAGATATTTTTTTCCATATATTTCCTTAATGTTTAATAGGAAGCTTAGTTAATTTTACCCCGAAATCATTAAACAAATATCTCTTCATGTTTTCTTTAACAATATCAAATAAATTAACTGTTTTTTCTTGAGTACCCTCGGCGCTTACGCGCGGTACAATGTTTGAGAACCAATGCGCTAGATAATTAGCTAGCCACACAAAATAGTTTCATGATCTCATCATATCAATTTTCTCGGGAATGTTCGGAATGTAAGTCATTTATTAAGTTAATTAACCGAGGCTGACCTTCCATGGGTTTGTCTATACGATGTGTGCGTGATGTGTGCACGTGTAACGTACCACGAAGTACCATTAAGCGAATTTCTAACATAATACCTTCTAATTAAAACTAGTTTTCACTGACGGACTGCCCGTCGTGCACACGAAAAACTGTAAAGTATTCGAAGCGTCGGAAAAAAATTAATGACAATAATAAATACGAGATTAAACCGTAAAAATAGTTTAAATTATGTCTATTACTCGAGAAACTCGGTTCTTAAATATCCGGTTTTTTATTCGATTCGATATTCTACTAATTGATATTTTGTATTCTGAATAAACTTTATGGTGACGTATTAAAGTTGTTGTCAACAGTTTAGATCACGTACACACTGTTGATGTTCCGCTCATCAGAACTCACAGACTAAAACAGCTGTCATAGATAGAAGTCCTGCATGAGTAGGTGCTCTACAATCCTAAAAAATTATGTAAATTGGCAAAAATCTTATTTTGCAAATTGAACAACGGAATAATCTTATCAAATTAGTGTATTGTCATCGGTCCTCGATAAATCTACAAAGTTTAAATGAAATCTGGTCGTTTAAGGTGGGTCAAAATCGCGTCTAAAGGAGTCAGTTAAAAACATACATACAAGTGAAGCTAATATAAAACGTGTAAAAAAGGTGAAATGCAATATTGAATCGCGGCAGATCTAGTAATGACAGTAGTATCCACCAATGCGAGGTCGCTATTCGCAGTTTCGCACTAGATAGAATTTACTGCGTTAGGAATTTCATAATTAAGTAGCAAATCAAATGAATTTTAACACAGATAGATGAGATCATCTGTTTTATTCTGTTCTTGTTTTTTTTTTTTTGAATTTTTAATATATCTTATGTCAGTCAGTCTTCGTATATATAATTCTAATGCACATGTATATGTCACTGAACTCCTCCTAAACGGCTGAACTGATTTCAATGATTTTTTTTTTGTATGCGTTTGCGTGGCGCCCTGGGTGGCTTAGATTCACAAATCAGTCCGGCAGATGGCACTGCAGTCGGTATCTAGGTTATCTATACTGCAACTAAACGGCTGGATCGATTTGAATGAATTTTTGTGTATGCATTCACAGGACAACGTCTGTCAGGTCCGCTAGTGTAATTACACGCTTTATATTAGCTTCACTTGTATGTATGTTTGTATGTTTGTAACTGACTCCATTAGACGTGATTTTGGCCCAATTTAAACGGCCAGATTTCATTCAAACTTTGTTGATTTAGGACCGATGACCGATGACAATACACTAATTTGATAAGATTATTCATATTATTGCAAAAAAAAATATAAAATACACAAATATGCAAAAAAAAATTAACTTAAAAATAAAAAATTAATAATAGTTTATAAAAACTAAAAAACACGCTTTATATAAAATTCAACTAAAAAATAGAAAATAAATTTTAATAAATTTAAATTGCAAATAGTGTAAAAAAATACTTTTTAATGTAAAAAACCATGGGGTGCATGGGGTTATTAGTTATAAATATTTTTCTGACGGATATGAGTAGAAGAATTATTATTTCAATAATATCTTAAAAAGCACCCTAAATTTTTTTTTTCTATTTTTTAGTTGAATTTTATATAAAGCGTGTTTTTTAGTTTTTTTTAAAGTATTATTTATTTTAATAAATGTTTTATGTAGATATACTATTGCTGTTAATATTATCATAAGTTTTCGAGAGACGCACCAGATGGAACTGTGAAAGTTGATTCATCGTTTCTTCTGTGTGCACATTTTGTATTCATAATGCACAGCCTGTTAGTGCAGTATCTCGTCGACAAAATTAATAACGTTTTAAATTAAACATCAGCTATCTGTTAGGTCGTAGGGCAGTAAAAAACGCATTAACAATCAGTTTTAAAAAGTTTATGTGGCTCATTTAATTGTAGCTGTACCTTTATCGATAGATCTGGCTTGAAAACAAGTCTCTTAAAGTGTAAGTGAGACTTAGATGATCCGAAGCTAACTGTTTTAGTTACTTTTAAAGTATACAAATTACGACATCAATATTATAATATTAATAACACAATGGGTTAATAACTGTGGTAGGTACTTAAGCTACGACTAAATCCGTATTCCTTTTTTCTTTTCTTTAAAACTACATGAATTTAATTGTGATTGAATCAGAGATCATTCGAATTAGTTAGTTATTTTACTTAATACTAGCGACCCGCCCTCGCTTCGCTTCGGAAACTGTAATTTATTATTGATTTCTCCACTGTTTAATGGATGTTATTATACATATAAACCTTCGTTTTCAATCACTCTATTTATTAAAAAAAACCGCATCAAAATCCATTACGTAATTTTAAAGATTTAAGCATACATAGAGATATAGGGACAGAGGAAGCGACTTTTTTTTTTTTTTTTTTATTGCTTAGCTGTGTGGACGAGCTCACAGCCCACCTGGTGTTAAGTGGTTACTGGAGCCCATAGACATCTACAACGTAAATGCGCCACACACCTTGAGATATAGTTCTAAGGTCTCAGTATAGTCACAACGGCTGCCCCACCCTTCAAACCAAAACGCATTACTGCTTCACGGCAGAAATAGGCGGGGCGGTGGTACCTACCCGTGCGGACTCACAAGAGGTCCTACCACCAGTAATTACGCAAATTATAATTTTGCGGGTTTCATTTTTATTACACGATGTTATTCCTTCACCGTGGAAGTCAATCGTGAACATTTGTTGAGTACGTATTTCATTAGAAACATTGGTACCCGCCTGCGGGATTCGAACACCGGTGCATCGCTTCAACAAGAATGCACCGGACGTCTTATCCGTTAGGCCACGACGACTTCAANTACCACCAGTAATTACGCAAATTATAATTTTGCGGGTTTCATTTTTATTACACGATGTTATTCCTTCACCGTGGAAGTCAATCGTGAACATTTGTTGAGTACGTATTTCATTAGAAACATTGGTACCCGCCTGCGGGATTCGAACACCGGTGCATCGCTTCAACAAGAATGCACCGGACGTCTTATCCGTTAGGCCACGACGACTTCAACTTTGTTGTATAGTGATGTAGTGATGTGAAACTTTCGGTTAATCCGAATGAAATTTTAACTCTACAGAACTAAAGACACTATAGACGTCGCTATGTCACTCACACGAACCGTTAACTCAAAATCCGCTTTATGCTCATTAAAACACTGCTATAAAAAACAGGGAAGTAAAAATTATAATAATAGAATATTGTCTATTCTAGATTCGGCCTTAGAGAGGTTCAAATACATATTATAAAACTATTTGCTTGAATAGCACGATCTAGTACAATAGCTTAATTGATTCATTGTACTCGTATTAAATAATCGAATTATCTAAAATCTCTCCAAACCGGTAACAATCTAGCGATAGGTTAATATTATTAAGTATTTTATCTTTACTATCATTATGACTTTATTCAATAGCTTTACGGAGAAATAAATAAGAAATGTTTGTTTTGAATTTTGTTAAAGAGTTGCTTATTGTGAGTTGTTTATGTTGCCAAGGAGATATGGTAATTTCGACCAAGGCTCTAGCCGCGTTGGATTTTGATTAAATAATGCTATGAATGTATGTATGAGGAATTTGAGCTGTTAAGAAAGTTAAGAAATTTGGATTCACTAATATGTTATGTAACTAAATTTCGCTGATTTGAAATTATTTTAAAGTCTAATCAAAACTGTTTACGCACAAAAACTTTACTCTAGTCACTTTGTTCGATGCTCAAATAAGCGCAAAAAAAGACACGTAAAAAATCGAAGATTAGTGGTCGAGGCAATGACGTCTCTTCGTAAATGACTGGTGGTAGGACCTCTTGTAAGTCCGCACGGGTAGGTACCACCACCCCGCCTATTTCTACCGTGAAGCAGTAATGCGTTTCGGTTTAAAGGGTGGGGTAGCCGTTGTAACTGAGACCTTAGAACTTATATTTCAAGGTGGGTGGCGCATTTACATTGCACATGTCTATGGGCTTCAGTAACCACTTAACACCAGGTGGGCTGTGAGCTAGCCCACCTATCTAAGCAATAAACAAAAAAAAATTACAACAATTCTTATAAATGTATTTAATATACAGACAAAGTTCTGTTTAATCATAGAATAAATATTTGTATATATTAACGTTGTGTCGTCCATGAGCTCCGCCAACCATTTAACACCAGGTGGGCCGTGAGTTTGGTCACACGTCTGTATTGTAAAAGATGAATGATAAACTAATTATCTGTTCTTTTGTATTATTTGAATACATTACATTGATACATTTGTCTCACAGGCTCCATACATAATGTACGTGGAGGTACTAGAGACTGACGGGCACGAGCCTCTTCCTCCCCGCCAGCTGCCTCCAGCGCCACCGGCTCCCCACTCACCCCCCATCAGACATACGAAGAGTGAGGAGAACCTCGTGCCTGAGTGGCCGGCGCTCTCCTTGTATTCGGCGCTGGACGACGTGGACACCGGAGACTGCTGGAGTCATGACGACGATGAGCTCAGCTCTCATTACGACCACAGAGCGCCCGCGCCCGACAGCGTGTCGCAGGTACGTACTTTAAGAGCAAGATTTGAGTACAAACCTCCAATCCTAATCTGACTTTCTTATATTGCTTACGATGTGTGGTAAGTCCGTGCGGATCCGGCTAAGAATAGTTCCGCCCCTTTATTTTCCCAGGGGTGTCGTAAAGGGCGACAAGGGGATTGGTAGCGGGCAAGCTACCAACAAAAGCATTCCCAAGGAGGGTTGACGCCAGACAGGCGCTCAGTCGTAATGCCAAAACCTTCACAGCCATGAATACGAGGGCTTGTTATGTGTGGACGAACTCACTGCCCACTCGTTGTTAAGTGGTTACCTGAGCCCATAGACATCTATAACGTAAATACCGGCACCCATCTGTAGACCTGAGTTCTAAGAACTAAGTTTTTACGGTAGTGACTTAAACACACATCGCCTGCCGAGTGAAAGTGTATTAATTTCAAAGTTTTGACGAGACATTCACTAAATGACCAAGAAAAGTGTAAGCGAATCAGACTTTTTAGTTTAGTAACATCATTATAATAATGTAATTTCTTTTATGTTTTTTCATATAGTTTCATTCGTATTAAATCAACACATTCATAAAATTTTAATATGCACATAGATATTTTTAAACAGGTCCGCTTTCATTAGCATAAGTCGTTATCTAATTGTGGAGGAATTAAATCATTAGAAATTGTATTTATATAATAATGAGTAGATTTAGCTTTAAACGAATGAAATGAAAATGAAAGATGAAAACGCTTCTGTATTATACACTAGTGCATAACGCTTAAGGCATCTATTAGATCACTAAAAATACCATTACGTACAATGGCAAATTAATTTTACGAGAACACACAATTAAATCGATTCGTAACTACGAATCAATCATAATTAATTTACCAAACTACTCAATAACTTTGAACGTACATGCATTATTCTAGTAATTGTTTTTTTTGTTTGACTTTGATCAAGGGTGCTCAGTTGATCAACTTTTAGTAGGACATTACCATTGATAAAACAGTAATAAAAAACTTGTGAGAGACAGCCCTATAAAATAGTGCTTTAGATTATTCAAATAGATGGTTATAGTCAATATGGTTGCTAAAGCACTATTTCACGAAAGAGCCTGCGAACAGTTTTATTGCGCGATTAACTCTTTATGAGATTGTCATTGCTAATGACGCCAGGGAGGTTGGCTCTGAAGATCAACTCGTATCTTCTTTGATTACTCGTTGAGTTCACGTCGCTTCAACAACCAGTGATCTGTCAGCTGGTTCACTCCTATCGATAACAAATAAATGGCGTATACAATTCACGCGCGTTAGAAGTGAAACGTTCATCAAGTATTTCATTTCATTCTCTCGCAGGCTAAATGCCATAAAAGCATATGTTTGTCTCTGTCTAATATTGTCCTTTCGTTTTATCCCAAATTATAAGAGGGTGCCAAGAAAGTTTTAACTTTAAATAATTTATGAAGGGTAGAGGTAAGGAGCACCAACTTGTATAGGGGACATGTTGAAAAAGTGTCTACCTGTAAACAGCAAGCTATTGTTGGAAGAATCACCGAAATAGTGCTAGTGTAGGAAGTGGAAATAGTATTAATATGGCAGTTTTATGGCACTGTTTTTAAAAGCATTCCACTTACTATACCGTCCGCTTAATTGGCTCCCTTTCAGAGGACACTATTTAATAGTGGTGCTCCTTATTTCTACCCTTCATATAAATAATAGCCGGTCACCGTCTTAGCCGAACCCGTCGCTAGCGACGAAGGGCTCGGCGAGTAAATCAACCCACAGATACAGCCCACTGAGTTTCTCACCGAATCTTCTCAGTGGGTCGTGTTTCCGATCCTGTGGTAGATTCTGCGATTTTCTTGCTTGGGCCATTGTTAGCAACACCTTCGTATTGAGCCTTGAAAGCTCACCCACACGCTAAGGTAACGCTGATATAGCCTCTCAAGGCTATCAGCATAGGTGGGAGAGAAAAAAAATAGTTCATGTAGGGTTTCTTTTTTGTCGGGCCCTGAAAATATCCTTGGGCCCGCGGTCCCGCAGTCGCGGATCAGTCCCACATGCCCCGCGCGCATTCTAGGCGCGGGGACCTCATAGGAGGTTCGGCCTCTAGCCCAAAAAGATAAAAAGGGTTTCTTGTTTGCGCAGGTCTCGGCGGTTTCGGTTCTGTCCACGTCATCGTGCGGCAGCCGCGAGTCTGTGGCCGTGGTCGCCGGCGAGGTGCGCAGGAGGCTGGTCGACGCCACAGAAGCAGAAACCTTCAGACACGACCCCGCCGATCCGTCCGCTACTGCACTGAAGGTGCGCCATACATTCCTTACTAATTGCTCTTTTCTATTGCTTAGATGGGTTGACGAGATCACAGCCCACCTAGAGTTAAGGGGTTACCGGAGCCCATAGACATCTACAACGTAAAGATCGCCACCCATCTTGAGATATGAGTTCTAAGGTCTCAAGTATAGCTATAACGGCTGTCCCACCCTTCAAATCGAAACGCATTACTGCTTCACGGCAGAAATAGGCAGGGTGGTGGTACCTACCCGTGTTGACTCACAAGACATTCTTAAAGGTGTTAATTGGTTACCGGAGCTCATAGATATCGACAACATAAATTTCGCTACCCACATTGAGACGAGACTTCTAAATCTCAGTTGCACAGTATATAGTCATAAAGATAAGGTTTGTACGTGATTTAAGTAAAAATAATATTGTGTTTTGCTCATTCGAGGTTTTCTGTTCGTCCGTAATACATAATAACAATGTAGTGTTATTTTCCACTTCATTCCAGAAACAAGGAAAATAACTTTTGTAATAATACATTTGAATACAGACTGCATAATCGATTACAAATTCGATATATAATATGTATTATGTGACCATGTGTTTTTGTGTTCCGAATGTGCAATTCGAACCGATTCTTTGTTTCCGATGACAAAGATTTAATGAGTAAAATCTTCAGTAATCTTTATAAAAGATCACGGAGAACGTAATGTTTAAATTTCACAGCGATCATTGAGCGTAACGAAAATGACATAATGATGTGTGAGCTCGTGGTACAAAATACGAAATTTTACTGTTTAATTAGAACTAGAGGTCTCGCAGTAGTCGAAATTCGACTATAATTAATTGGAATTGTAAGTTTATATACTAATATGATTCTGTTTTCAAAAACTATTATACTTCTATAATCACAAATTTCGCCAAGACTACACTATAGAAAAATATTAATAAAGACAAACAGGTCTTGTGCTCTACAATCTATTCTCAATTTGACCATACACGTCAAGAACAAAAGTCTGACAATAAATAAATAGTATGCATGCGCGTGTGCGTCAAATACATGGTAGTGTGTGTAATGTTTTTTTTTATTGATTTCATGTATTTTTAGGCATTATTTAAAAAAATATTAACATTCTGCACTCCTTCTCTATATTCTCTATAAATGTGGGAAATTTCATACTCCTCCGTCCGCGCAATTTTCGTAAAAAGGGATACAAAATGTTTCCATTCGTCGCAAGCGATGGGTTCGACGAGTAAACACACCGACGCAGCCCACTGAGTTTCTCGCCGGATCTTCTCAGTGTGTCGCGTTTCCGATCCGGTGGTAGATTCTCCGAAGTACGGCTCTTGCTAGGGTTCGTGTCAGCAACGTCGCCAAGTTTGAGCCCCGTGAGCTCATCTGCTAGTTAAGGTTATGCTGAAATAGCCTCTCAAAGCTATCAGCTCAGGTAGAAATCAGGGTTAATAATTATGATCGAATTTCGACCGTTGGGCGACCTCTAGTTCCCAGGAATTGTTTGATTTGTACACGTCAGATATTTTGTAAAAAAAAAAGTGGAGTCTTAATACAGTACGGTTGATCTTCAGGAATCGTGGGAGAGCAAGCTGTGCCGCATCCGCGCCATGTCCCCGTACGGCGCGCTGTCGGGCTGGCGGCTGCTGGGCTGCATCGTGAAGGTGGGCGACGACCTGCGCCAGGAGCTGCTGGCCGCGCAGCTGCTGCGCCGCCTCACCGCCATCTGGCGCCACGAGCGCGTGCCGCTGGCGCTGCGCCCATACGAGATCCTGTGTTTGGGCCGCGACACCGGACTCATACAACCGGTCCGTATTGCTCATGTTACTTCTTTTTTTTAAAGTGAAACTTCTTTAGAATCGTTGTGATTTTAAACTCGATAAAACGAAATGAAACGAAACGAAAAAATTAGTGTGTCGCGATTGGCTTGCCGAAGCGGCTCCGAGCGGCGCCGACAGATCACGAAGCGCTCCACAGGGTCTCGCGTCCCCGACTAGTTCAGTGTGTTTTTGACGTCCGTGCAGCGTGCAGCGTGCGTCGTGGCTCTCGGAGCGCCCTGAGATACTTTTATTTCTATTTAGTTTGTTATCAACAGATGTCCGCTGCATGTAAATTCAACAATTCCTGAATCGCGGTGACGAGATGTTACACAGTTAATAGACGTTCTTGTATTTGTCTTGCTTAATCATACTTACCTGGTGTAGGGATACCGTGATCATGCAGGCGGTTCCCTCAGGGTGAGGCTGCTCCGTTGCACTGCGGAGTGGTTGACCCTTGCGATTATTCTTTTTTTTAATAAGTTCCACTTCTACCGTGTGTGAATTGCACACACATTTTTTTTTATTGCTTAAATGGGTCGATGAGCTCACAACCCACCTAGCGTTAAGTGGTTACTGAAGCTCATAGACATCTACAATGTAAATCCGCCACTCACCTTCAAATATAAGTTCTAAGGTCTCAAGTATAGTTACAACGGCTACCCCGCCCTTCCAACCGAAACGCATTAATGCTTCACGGCCCCGTGCTACCCGCGCGGACTCACAAGAGGTCTTACCACCAGTAAGTCTATGTATGGAACGCAATCCTCTGGCCGGATCTTCTGCGAAGCACTGCTCTTGCTAGGGCTAGTGTTAGCAACGTCCTCTGGTTAGAGCCCCGTGAGCTCACCTACCTCTCCGACTGTAGCTGGAATAGCAACCTAGGCTATCAGCATTAATAGGAAAAGAAAAAAAAAACGTACTGCAAGACGTCCGTTAACTCGAAAACTTAAATTGCAAAAATATTAAAACACCAGTAATACTTTATTAAGTTTATTACTTTGATATGATATCCTCATTAGGATCACCAGCATAAGACAATTATATGATATATAACGGCCGTCGGGTGTAGTGGTAAGTGACATGGTCACTACACAAGGGGGTCGCGGGTTCGAATCCCGCCAAGGGAAGATATTTGTATGATAAATATAAATGTCTTTTCCAGGGTTATGGATGTCTATTAAATATATGTATGTGTATAATAAAAATCTTACATTTATATCCGTTATCTGGTGGTACCTGTAACACAAGTTCTTTACGAACTTATCACGGGACCAATTAACGTGGCGTGATTGTTTAAAAAATAAAATAAAATAAATAAATAAATATATATACCGCATATGTGTTTGTATATGTATGTAATATTATTATTATTAGTCTTCTGTTTTGTTACCATTGGCGTACTTAACATACCACGAGAGGGCGTATGCTCGCCTGATATTAAAGGCAATAAAAATATAATTCAACTCATACTGCCTTTGATAAATAGTTGGGAAATAACCGCGGATAAATAGTTATGAAACCGTATAAGTATTTCAAATAAGTTTTTATAACAGAACAGACCATTAATTTGTCCTAGACCTCAAGTCTCAAGCTTAGTGACGTTTACGTTGTTGATGTCTATGGGCTTCCGCAGTCACTTAACGTAAGTTGGGCCGTAAGCTCGACCAGACATCTAAGCAAAGAAAAACAAAAAACAAACTTCATTTTAATATGTTGCTGCAAACATATTAACAAGTAATGGCCCTTTGATCTCTTCGAATGTTTTCATATCGCAGACATCCGTTCCGAGCCACGTGACTAATGATACTGTATTGTTGTGACGTCGAACTTTATCTCGTGTCTAATGCGAACGGTTCGCGTCACGCTGAGGCTTCGCGAAACGTGACGCGAACGACACGAGATTGAATGTGAACATGGATAGTTACGGACGCGGGGATTCCCACTGTTACGCGCTGGGGTTCGGGATTTACTAGTGGTAGGACCTCTTGTGAGTCCGCGCGGGTAGGTACCACCACCCTGCCTATTTCTGCCGTGAAGCAGTAATGCGTTTCGGTTTGAAGGGTGGGACAGTCGTTGTAACTTATATCTCAAGATGGGTGGCGCATTTACGTTGTATATGTCTATGGGCTCCAGTAACCACTTAACACCAGGTGGGCTGTGAGATCGTTCATCCATCTAAGCAGTAAAAAAAAAAAAACCGAAATACAAGTTAACACTGTATTAGCACTTAGAATACTTAAAAAACTTCACAAACGCTTTAAAATTTTCAATTCGCTTGTTCCGCTTCGCTTCAAGTGATTCGTTCGCTGTTTCGCTTCAAGTAGTTCCGATTACTAACTGACTGCGCGCCATCTCTGCAACGCTTTTGTAGCCGATACCACATCCCTAGAATGATCGAGAATATTCCTCACAAGTCGAGTACTTTCGATGTGTATTTCCGCTATCTGACAATAGATGACGTTGTACTTCTCGAGCGTTCTAGATCCTTCGATATTCGTTCGAGTATTCGGTGATAGATGGCGTTACTCTTACCGGCGTTACACCACCCTGTGCCGCCACGTACAGGGTGCTCTCATCGGATGCGGCTTAAAGGTCGTGTCGTTGCGAGCTCAGTGGTGACGTCACGTAGGCGGGGACGTGGGTGGATATTATCAGCCAGCCGATTAAATATAAGGGTTATGTTAAACATATTGCTTCGTTATCGCGAGTTAGGAACAATAGGTAAATAACCTTATCACGTTCAATGGCATTGAGAGGAGCAATACCCAGCGCATTCGAACCCCCGTGGAACTTAATACGTATGTAAAACCGTGTAGAAGAGTTTGTGTATAATACAATAGGTTGGGGGTAATCGGGACGCTTTCCAATCCCAACACAAATTTTCAGCGTTGTTTCTTAGGGTTATACCAATAAAATTGAGATAAAAATGTTTCCGGAGGTTTAAATTTTCATATACGATGCATTATTATACATAGCTCATTGAAAAATACACACAAACACTTAAAAAACTAGCTTGACCTGATCCACCTTGGCTTTTGGGGTGAATCGGGTCACGTACGGGGACAATAGAGTTTTTCGATAGGGCTAGCACTGTTTAGTTGTTAGGTAGGTACTTACGTTTAGGTTATTAACCTGTTCAATATTTTTAATCAGTTACAAAACACTGATGACAAAATTAAACTATTTATTTAATATTCTTAAACTAAATAAAAGTCCTTTTCAATTCAACAAATTTAAATCTCACAAAAGCATTGTGACAACCCAGATTTGTCCCTATTCTACCCCTAGTCCCTATTCCCCCCAATCTACGGTACACCATCATGCTGTCTCGCTCGCACAATCGTATTCTAATTGCCCTGGTATACAATAGTCCATACGCTGATTAATTCATAATCTATACTTCTATACTAATATTATAAAGAGGAAAGATTTGTTTGTTTGTTTGTATTGAATAGGCTCTAAAACTACTGAACCGATTTCAAAATTCTTTCACTGTTTGGAAGCTACACTATTCCCGAGTGACATAGTCTATAATCTTTTTTGAAAACAATTAGGGATCATTACTAAAAACTCCAATAACGTAACCCAAGGTGTAAAAAAATTACCTAAAATATTCTTTACATCGCGTGCCCTGCGAAAACTATTGATGATAGAATAAAATAATGCACTACGACTTTGTAGAACACATTATTATTTAAAAAAGTGTTGCGACAGCATATATGTCAAACTATTATAGTTATGACGCAATAAGTGTTCTTTTATTTAAAAAAAAAAAGTCATATATCGTTGAAATTTTCGTTAAAGACCCGAGCGGAGCCGGAGCGGGCCGCTAGTAAAGATTTTTTTTATTTATTACCTAGATGGGTGGACGAGCTCATAGGCCACCTGGTGTTAAGTGGTTACTGCAGCCCATAGACATCTACAAAGTAAATGCGCCACCCACATTGAGATATAAGCTCTAAGGTCTCAGTATAGTTACAACGGCTGCCCCGCCCTTCAAACCGAAACGCATTACGGCTTCACGGCCTACATAGGCGGGGTGGTGGTACCTACCCGCGTGGACTCACCTACCACCAGTAAATATAATGAAGATCTTTATTGGCAGGTGCTGAACTCTGTGTCGCTGCACCAGATCAAGAAGCAGTCGGGGAAGTCCCTGCGCGCGTGGCTACAGCTGGAGCACGGCGCGCCCACCTCTGAAGGCTTCCTGCGCGCGCAGAGGAACTTCGTGGAGTCCGTCGCCGCCTACGCGCTCGCCAGCTATCTGCTGCAACTTAAGGACCGGTAAGCACCTCGAGCACTATAGACCGCTGTGCTTAGTGCCGAGTTTTTAACGTTCTCGATAGCGTAAAAGTTAACTCAAATTTGTATGCAGTTTGAGCAGCGCCTCTAGCGTCAAATTCATTCCCGATCTTGCGGACCGAATGGTAAACGGTGCTTTTTAGGTACCTCAAGCACCGGCCATCGTTCTCGTCGAACCCGTCGCTTGCGAACTTGACGAAGGGCTTGACGAGTAAATTAACCCACAGACACAGCCTACTGAGTTTCATGAGTGTCATGTTTAAAAAAAAGATATGTGGTGTCTTGGGACACCGGATAGGAACGAAGTTCCTTATTATAAAAATATTAATTTTAAATTCTATTCGAGGTAGAAAGAAAATAATTATTCGGGTATACATTTTTTATTATGATTTTCTTATTGATAAAAAGTGAAGTCGTACACTGTGTACATTACTAATAAAAATCTTACGTTACCGACGTTTTTTCCCGGTCAGGGTACCCCTCCGCATCGTCCCATAAGGAACTTCGTTCCAAAAAATATTAAAATTGATTTATCATTTTGTTGACAGGCACAACGGAAACATCTTATTGGACAGCGAAGGTCATATAATCCACATCGACTTCGGGTTCATATTCTCTACGTCACCGAAAAATCTTGGATTCGAAAGTTCACCGTTCAAAGTAAACGTTTTTCTGTACATTGCTTTGTTAAAACATTATTATTTAAAACATATTTTAATATGGTATGCACAATTAGATAAGCGTAACCATAACTCCACTTGTGTTTTTCTGAAAACAAAAGAGAATAGTGAATTGTAATAGTAAATTAAAATCATTTTTTATCTTATCATTTTTTTGTTTGAATAGCTCTAAGCGAACAGAAACTAATATTAATTTACTAAGCGAAGACAAGCATACTCGTGGGTTTCAGTAGCTACATATTTTGTGAACCGGTAATGTAACACAAAGTAATTCCAAGGGCGAGCTGATTTTGTGTTTCATTGCGCGCAATGAAAACGATATATTTTTATCTTTTTTTTACGACAGTACAATCAAAGCTGTTGTGTCAGCAATCACCAACCTCATCAACGACAATCAATATACAACTCCTGCTCTGTTGTACTGGCGTAAACGTTTGTATTGGTTTGAGACATAAATTAATGCAAGTGAAATGTATGTAAGTGGTCTTGGGGTTTTTTTTATTGCCCTTGAAGGCAGACGAGAATACGGTCACCTGATGGTGAATGGTTACCGTCGCCCATGGACTTCAGCAATGCCAGGGGCAGAGCCAAGCCGCTGCCGTTAAACTTGGGTACAAAGCCAAAGCCTTTTGTATATTATAGCATAGTCTATGGGAGAAAGCAGTTCGTATAAAACGTACATTTTGTTGTTTCCAGTTGACACAGGAGTTCGTTGAGGTAATGGACGGCGAACACTCGGACATGTTTCAATACTTCAAGATATTGATCCTGCGCGGCCTCATCGCGGCGCGCAAGTACTGCGACCAGATCATACACATGGTCGAGCTGATGCGAATGAGTGAGTGTCAGGCTGTCAGCTTCGATGCCTCCAATGAACATTACCCTAACTCAAAATTTTGAAATTTTCGTTTTTCACGCAAATCTCTTCACTATTTTAAAAGTATTATAATTAATCATTATTGATGGGGTTCGGAGCAAGAGTAAATCAGCTAGTTACACAAAAAAACCATAAATATATCTGCAATAATGAAGATTTTATCAACTTTTTTCGTTTAAACGCTCCTCCTGCAAATTTACGAATTTGGAGTTAGCGTGGTGTTCATTGGAGGCATAGCTTTGTCCTATCTCTAGTCTTTATCGCATAGTTGCAATTCAGCGACTTTTTGGCGGGAACGCGAGGAGTGAAGTTGTGTGATTTGTTTTATTTTGTCTTTTTAGTGTTAAGCTTCAGGTTTAAATGTGTAATAACGGTGGTTTATTAACTGTTTAGTATCTGTGTAAGTGCACAAATGTGGGAAAATTAAACAAAGCTGCTGAACATTACTTTTCGTGAATCTCCAAAAAGTCCACTAAAAAAAGTCTTACTCAGATTATCTTTACTCAGATTATATTTCATTTCATTTCATATCAAGCCATGATAAAAATAAGAAAAAAATCTATGTCACTTAGTCAAGCGAGGATAGATGTTTTTCGAAAAAGTTAAAAATTTGACACCCTTGGTCGCATTTTTAGGTACTGTGATCGCAATTTTCACAATTTTACAGTGATTTTTTAATAATGTTATCTCAAATAACAGTGCTATTAATCGTAACCACAAATGAAAGTACTAGGCTATGGAATATTTCCACTGTTCCTGTCATATTAAAATCTTTTTAATTGAAAACTCCTTGGTTTTAAAAATCGAATACCATTTATTTATTTAAAAAAAGATTCTCGGTCTTGTCACGAGGTTTTGTCAAACTTGTTTAGTCGTTGAGAAAATGGAATTGACTCGAGAAAATTCAAGAGCGATGATTTATTATGACTTTCGAAGTGGTTTAACACAAAAACAGTGTGTTGACCGGATGATTTCTGCATTTGGTGATGAAGCCCCATCCAAAACCACAATTTATCG